GTACTATAGTTAATAAAAATATTATTTAATTTTACACAGTTTGTAATATTTTTCTATTTTTTATTTTTTTCTTTATCTTTTTATTTGGCTGCACTTTTAAATATCTGTTTATATCTGGAAGAAGAGTCCTAATTCGCTGATACAATGGGTGTGAGACAGCAGCATGAGGTTCAGATATAATTTTAACTATTACTTTTTAAATGTGCAAAAAGAACATTGTGAAAGCCATTGTTAGTTTTCTAGCCTCTAACAGGCACTGTCTATTCTATTACAGATGACAGCAACTGAACAGACACTACAAGCAAACAATTCCACATTCTTTCACGTGCTGAGACATCAAGCTCTTGTGAGGCTCTTTTATCATTTAAGCTTTGCATTGAAACAGATGAAAAATGTCCTTGTGTAAGCTGAAGGCAAAGGACTGGCGAGCAAAGTATCCAAGTATTTCACAGTTCAGTGGCAAATGGAATTAAACCAAGATCTCAATTCCATTCCATCCCAGCAAATATAAATAAATGGCTTTTAGAAGCTTATCATAACTATAAGCTAAGTATCTGAGATACATCACATAACAAGACATGATTTCCAACTTCCAAAGCTCTACTGATAGAGGATACTTTAATAACAATGAAATTTTAGGGCAATCAGAAAAACAGGAATAAATGAAAGAGGGCAGATGCAGGTCCCCAAATATTAAATTCAGATTTCCCATCAGTATGGGTAATGGTAAGAGACAATGGGAATTGCAATCTAATACAGGCAGATCTGATAGAGACTACTTCAAAGCAATCTCTACTACTGGTGACTACTCAACAAAGCTTTCCTGGCAATAATATGGATGTGGTTTGTAGCTGTTTTCTTTCAAAATGTTTTTTAACTTCTCAGATTAGGCTTGTAACTCTAAGATTTCTTAATAGACTCTTGTTTAATATTGACCAGGTCTGATCCAGCTAAGCTTTTCTAAGATCAGCCAAACTGTGCTTTAAATTATCTACATATTAGGAAAAATATCTATAGTACCAGAGACACACATCTTAATGGATTGTTAAGATATTTTGAAAAAAGCCCCTAAACTCTCCTAAACCAGGAAAGATGGGAAAAGAAACTTCAAACAAGTTGGTAAATTGACTGTAACATAATTCCTATCCTGTAAAACCTATGCCACAAATAGCCTAAAGAAAACATTCTAATTGCAGGCCCATTGTCTTACCAGTTGGTCAGGTTTTCCCTTTCTATTAATGCCAGATCTCCGCCTTGGCCAGCAAGAGTGTAGAATGAATATTTCACCTGATTTCCTACTTCGTACTCTCTAAAAAATAACTAGAAAAAGCCAGACCTTGGGGGAAGGGGGTAGGGAGGCAACCTTCCCTTAATGATTCTGGAAAACGAATACACAAAGATACAAATTGATATACAGTATAATACTCTCAATAGATATATAAACAACATTTAAAAAACACAAATTTAAAAAATACAATTCATGGACAAGAGGTGGAGGAAAAGTGAAAAAGCAAAATGTCATCGAATTAGACATAAGGACACAGATTCTCTGATACTGGGTACTCTTTTTTCACATATCCCAAAATACTTTTTTTTTTATATCCCATGGACATAATTATATGATTTTTCTGAATTGTAAATATTTTTTTCAGATAAGTATTTAGCTGCAGATGGATAAATAAGTATTCGAAAATTGAAAGTTTTGCAGTACATAAACCACAAAATTTAATTTAAAATTTTTAAATTTAAACATTGCAGAAGATTAAGACAGATAAGATTTTAGGTTTACTAAATATAGCATTTTCTTAATATTTTCAGAATATTTCATTAATTCATTAGAATTCTTTCTGCTGCTATATATTGTTTAACTCAGCCATGTATACTGTTATTAGAAGTACATATACAAATGCATACTCACTGTTACCTAACACAGTTGATACTTATCCTAACTAAAGAGAGTTTGAGCTTAAGATCTCAACTTTTCCTCTTAGTATTTCAATGGAGAAACTAAGCTAGAAATACATGCTGTAAACTAGCTTAATGAAAATGGACAAACTTCAACAAGAAGAAAATATAAAGGTTTCCCATAGCAAACTATGATAAACTTTCCATTTGATGTGATCATCATACATATTAAACACAGCTGCAGATCATGGAGAAAATGACAGTTCAACGTAAAGATATATTCAGAACTAAGTCAGTTAGAGAATGGGAACAGAAAATAATGAAACAGACATGTACAATGTGTGGGAAATCCCATCCACTCTGGTTCACTAAGAGGGGCTCAGATGATCCAGTTATCTATTAGGATTTTTAGACTGACACACACATGCAATATTCTGATTTACCAGAAAAAAACTCCAAAGTACAATACACAAAATACAAAAGCAGCACAATCTCTGCTGAGAAAGAACACTATACAATATGTATAATGCCATTAACTATAGATACTGCGATGAATATGTTGATTAGAATCATACTCATTTGCATAAGAAAATTTTCAGAAAAAAACACATTTCTGCTTCTTATAATAATTATTTTCCCTATAAAAGTGTTTATGTACATCCCTTTCAAAATCCGGTGAAGTACTATATTGGCTCTAAAGCAGTTATGATAAAGCACATTGAGACAAATTATAGTCAATAAATCAATATCAATACTTTGTATCATATATTTAATGGTAATAATTCACAAAATACAAAAGCAGCACAACCTCTGCTGAGAAAGAACACTATACAATATGTCAGAAGAACATTACCCTTTAGAACCAGATTCAACTGAGCCAATCTGCGTTTAACAGAGCTTTCAGTCTTACATGTTCACAAAACTGATAAAGACTTGAATTTAACAAAATACCAGCTGAGAACTTGTAGTAATCGCTGGCAGAACAACAACTGCTCTATTTTTTTCATATATAACAGTAATAATGAAAACCAGCATCAACCATATGGACAGCAAAGAATAAATGTAACAGTAATCAGGAATGGGAACAGTAATTCGTTCAAGATAGGTAGATATATATTTATGAAACTCTCAATTCAGAGGATTTTCACTATTCTTTCCATTTTAGAATTCTATTTTAAAAGCAAGCGACCATGTAATTCCAAAAATAACACAACAGAAATTAAAACTACTACCACAGGAAAGAGCTTTTGCAGAATACTGACAGGTGGAGAAAAAGTTTAGCATGCAAACCGGTTTTCTTTCTTTTTTTTATAACTATTTTTGGACTATGTACACTTGAAAATAATATAAGGTTATTATCACTAAGTGCCTTCCATAAATCAGAAATAAAATGTAGGCGTATTTTGGGATTTTCTGTTTTAACCTAAGCAAACACAAACAAGGAAACAGGAATGGAGAAGCAACGCAGACATGTGAATGCATGGATTCAAGTTATCTGACATTAAAATACACCAAGAAAGTAATCAAGTTAGACCACATTATACATATCAGAAGTATCGAAGTCACAAAATACTGGGAATAAATGATGAATTGAATTAGCAATCTGTCTGAAAGGAAGAAAAATAGACCTACCAAACAAAAGTAGAAAAAAATAGGAAGCAAATATTTACTGTAAGTTTTTAAAAAATGAGAATGCATCTAGAAAATTGTTTTTAAAAAGAGGAAACATGTAACAAAATGATACTAAATAAAAATAATGAAAACTGAAGATATTTAACAGGATAGGGCAAAAAAAATGAGGAAAAGGTCTGAGTGAGTTATCAACTTAAACATAACTAGAAAACTTCCCTTGAGGTTTTCGGATTTCCCTTGAGACCAATGTTGGGACATTTGAGTGTTCAGTATTTGATACATGACTATTTCATTCCATTTCAAATGCCTAGCAGAGCTGCTTGACATGCATTAAAAAATAGAATAATCTTATACCTTTTGCATTCAGGAACAGGATAACCAAAGCCTATTTGGTTATCCTGTTCCTGAATGGCTTCCAACAGTTAACTTTCTGTCAACGGCCATTCCCATGTCCAACTGTCATATTATCTTGATAAACTTTTTTTTTCTTCCTTAAGAGGGGGTGCTCACCAAATGCATTAAACCTTCACATTTCCAGATAGCATCAGTGGTGTATGCTAGGATTAAGGACCTGAATACAATAACCTAATCACATAACTGATGACTCTTCCCTCCATAGAAACTGACTTTTTATTTTAATCAAGCTAGTAATTTCTGGCCCTGCTTATTGTAGCATGCCCCATCAAATGCTAATCTCAACTCAGCTAGCATTACTTTTAACACCCAGAGTAGCTAAGAATTTAGTACCCTCTAAAAGGCAACCTTTGCATTTTATGAATGTCATCCATGTTTGCATAACCGACTAAATCGTTCCTTATTTTTCAAAAGCTCCAAATGGGTCGTGGGTTGGGGGGGGGGGCGCTGCTATTCTACCAAGGGAAACGGTGCGTCTTTCTCAACCCTATTTCTCCAATACAACTGTGAAGATCAGCCTAGCCTTTAGCGCAGGAGGAGGAGGGGAAAGGAGATAAGCACTTTATTACTCCCTCTAACTAACCTTCCGGGTCCTCGTCATCTAAAGGTGTGGTTGTCTTACCACCTATGCATCACCCAAACACACACTAGGTGCCGTGTTGTCTAATGACAAAAAAAGAAACAAACAAACGATCTGCTCAGGCGTCATGGCTACTTGATCTGTTCCCCCAGTCCAAGACAAACAGGGCGAAAAGCAAGGAAGCTTGTCCAGCTGTTGTGTTGGTTCTCAAAAAAATAAAAAAAATAAAAAAAATAAAAAAAAAATAAAGCTCTCTGCCCATGTTCAGAGGACACACTTCAAAGGCACCAAAGCGACCCTCGCGTGTTGCAGAGAGATTGCGCCGGACGCTGCCTGCTCCAGCGGGAAGTTCGGTTTTCCAAAGTCAGAGCCCCACCGCTCTGCATCAGGAGCCTTGGCGGAGGCAGCGGCGCTAGCGGTACCCCTCCGTGGCCCAAGCCCGGCCAGGAAGGTCACTTCCTGCCCTCACCTTGTGAGTGTTGTTGCCAAGCACCTCCTTGCCGAACCCTTCGTCTTGCGGGCCGCATCCAGTCTCCGGCTCAGCTCCGCGGCGTAACCCCCGCCTGACCCGCAGAGCCTTCGCCCCGAACCGGATCTCTCGGCCGTGCAGCGGAGCCGCCAGGAGGAGCAGCAGCAGAAACACCCCTGCGCGCACCAAGGACGGCAACATCTCTACCCGCGGTCCCAACCACCAAACTCCAGTCCGCCTTCGGGGAACTGGCTCACCTGCCGCCAGAGCCACGAACGCCTCATTGGGCTGAGCCAAAACAGGTACGCGAAAGCCATTGGCTGCCACGCACGTCAATCTGCTCGACTTTCAACCGTCGCCCAACCTCTCCTGAAGCTTTTTTTTTCCCCCATTCGCGCAGCTCTCCCACCTCTGTTTTTTAAGCGGCTCGCTGAACTGCCAATCTGGACACAGTGGACGCTTCATTCCACCAACCAGCGGCCATTGGCTATTCCTATTGCCAGCCTCCTCCCTTTAAATGATCCGGCCGGTCAATATCACCCCACTTCGAAGAGCGCTTTGCTCATTGGTTGATTTCCTGCAAAGCTTTTCTTCTTTCAGGTTTTCCGTGCAATTTAAGGCTTCACGAGAAGGCTTTAACTCCTGTTGCTAGGAGGCGAAGCCGACAAGTTTTGTTTCTGTCCCCCACTTTTTTAAGGGCAGCCGCCTTTCATTCACTGTTGTGCCGTCGGGTCGAATGGTAGGACGGGATCCTTTCGCCTTCCTATCAAACATTTTCTTCTCATTGGCGGAGGAGAGATTTAAAGCTGTCCACGATAGGAATCAGAATCAGACTAGACCTGGAAGGGACCTTGGAGGTCTTCTAGTCCAGCCCAATGCTCCTCGGCTGTTTCTGCAGATTTTTAGAGAATCATGTAACATATGACAAGATTACAGGTAATCCTCGACTTACAACAGTTCGTGTAACTCGAAGCTACAACAGCACTGAAAAGGCGACTTATGACCATTCTTCACATTTAACACCATTGCAGCATCCCCAGGGTCATGTGATCAGAATTCAGACCTTGGCAATCGACTGATATTTATGACTGTTGCAGTGTACTGGGATCGTGTGATCACCTTTTGTGACTCTGACAAAATCAATAGGGAAGCCAGATTCACTTAACACTTAACTGCAGTGATTCACTTAACAACTGTGGCAAGGAAGGTGGTAAAATCTCTTAACAAGTGTGTCACTTAACAACAAAAATTTTGGGCTCAGTTGTGGTTGTAAGGCCTGTATTAAGAGGTAGCTATGGTGCATGCAGAAATTAATCAGGGTAGTACTGATAAGTAGTGGATGGGACACCTCCAGGAAGCTCTAAATGAGTGTTTCTCAACCTCAGCAACTTTAAGTTTGTGGACTTCCACTTCCATAATTCAGGATAAGAATAACAGAATGATGGAGTTGGAAGGGACCTTGGATCCTAGTCCAACCTCCAGCTCAAAAGGAGGAGATCCTATCCCATTCTCCAGCTAGCATTCCGAGTATTGAAATCCATGCAGTTTAAAATTGCTGAGGTTGAGAAACATTTGCTTTAACTATGCAAATAATCAGGGTGGTTGGGTGGAACCCCTGAAGAAGGCAGTGATAAACCACTTTTGTATGTGGGCATGTCTATGAATTCACCAGGAGTTATATTCAACTCACCTTGGACCAACTCATTACGTACACGTAATGAGTATCATGCACTTTGGGAATAAGGAATGGTTATGGAAATAACAAAAAATGAATAGTAATATAAAAAAATAATTGAAACAGAAACTTAAAAAAATCTAGTTTACATCAACACAGTATATACCAGTTTTATATAAAGCTGTTTGGAGTACTTTACATTCAGTTTGATTGCTACACGTCCCCATTCAGTTCAGGTCGACAAATTGATTAATTTTGGGTTTTTTTTTTTACCAAGAGAGAAGGTAAGGGTGATCTAGAATGTGCAGCAATTGTCACAGATTAATGCAAAGACCTCTGTAATTTGTCTCAACAAACAATTTACATGTAGTTTCAAATGTTGCCACCTTTCTTCTCTTCCTGTCTCATTTCCTTCTTTGCTTGATCTCGCATGAATTACTCAAAAGGTCTTCATTAATTTTGAATATGAAATTACAGTCTGAAACATTACTTCCTGTGTTTTTAAGGACTATCAGATGCAACAAGCAGCTTGCCATCATCCATGATCCTGCTGATAATTTAACAGATAATCTTTATTCAGTCTTTTTAAGTGTTACTATTATATTCCCAACAAAAGCAAACAGATTTTCTATGAGGATCTGGATAAATACTATTTTTTCTTCATGCAAGAAAAATATTGAGAATCATTAGTATGCTAAATCAATGAGTGATTAATTAATTGGCTGATCTGCACACCCCATTGCCTTAAAAGCATGCCCTGTAGATCAGAAATTATGATATTAGTAACAAGTTGGTATTTATATTTTTCCTAAAAAACTGATATTTTTTCATCCAAAGAAGGACATACAGAAAACCCTAAGTGCTACACCATATAAAAATGAACGGTATTAAAATATAAGCAGTCATTTGAAAAGATCCAATTCATACTAAAAAAAGGTGTGATAATACCATCCTAATGTAGTAATATTTTCCTATTCTAATGATTAATGCTAAATTGCATCTTACATAATGATCTACAAAAGCCAGTATCTGCCCTGTAGCACAATAGGATTTCTAAATTCTGACATACACGTTCTTACGATCTAAACCTAGTTAAGAAATTTAGTAAGGTGACAGATTGTGGGCTTGTGTAAATCTGTATTTTCTTTTAAAAAAAGCAATAGATGAAATCCAAAGAATTGCATAAAATGAACAGTGAAGTGCACAAAAGGAATAATATGCATGCTCTCACCTCATTCATACTATAGGTAAATTTAAGGTTTCATTCAAAATAAAAATCTATTCTCAAAGCTATAAACCAGAAGAGATTATAAATCTTCAGACTGACAAAAGACAAGTAAGAAACTTAATAACAGAATAATGGAGTTGGAAGGGACTTTGGAGGTCTTCTAGTCCAACCCCTATGCTCAAGCTATACCTATTCATTTGTTTTATCTTGTCTAAATGTATAACCTTACTTTTCTCACCATTGAATTTCATTTTATTAAATAGGGCCCAGTATTCAAATCTGTCAAGATCCTTCTGTATCTTGAGCCTATCATCTGGAGCAGGGATCCCAGAACCCTGGGCCGCATAACAGACAATGCAAGCAACAGGCAAGCAAATGAAGCTTCATCTTGCCTGCGTGGGATCTAGGTTGCATGCAAAACCTTCCTCCCCACCCCCAAAAAAAAGTCTGTGAAAAAAATTGATGTCCATGAAACTGGTCCCTGGTGCCAGAAAGATTAGGTACCACTGATCTGGAGTATTGGCTATTCCTGCCAGCTTGATGTCATCTGCAAATGAGTTTCCCTAAGCTATCATTTAATAGTTTATGAAGATATTGAAGAGTACTGAGCTTATCATTCTTTATTAACATTCTTAAGGAAAAGGGAATATTACATCCCAAATGAATACTTCATGTGCAAAACGTAGGTGCAGCCCAAATGTTATTGTATTTTTTACACCAAACTTGAGGATCCTAGTGAATTAGCAAGATAGAAAATCAAACAGAGACAAAAATTGAAATGAGGACAGTTCAAAAATCATAAGTGGCCAATTTGTTTAAAGATAACAGAGGACCATGATTACATAGCCAGTTTAGTGTGTAAGTAGTGAATTTATGAGTATGATTATTTGTATTTGGAACAATGCTGTAAGGTGCGTGTACATGAAAAGATGAACAGGAAACTAAGCTAGCATATAGAGAAATTGCAACATGAAACTTGGCAGGAAAGCATGGGAAAAAAAAGACAATGTCATGCAACAAGAACCACAAGTTGTAGCAATCTTGTATACAGTAGGAATCATGCAGAAGAGAAAGCAACAGGGTTAACAGCACGAAAAATAGTATTTTAATAAACAAGAATAATAAAGAAAAACACAACTTAGTGTTACTAATAGAATACTAATATTGTGACTCAGGTTTGACCTGTGAGGTCTTTGCTGCTCTCTGAGTTCAGTTCTTTGTTGCAAATGTCTGCAACTTAGTGTCCTCTAAATAGTTTGGACTTCAACTTTCATAACTCCCATCTACTGTAGAGCTCCACTTGGGACATTAAGCCAAATGAATTGCAAGCCAACAGATACCTAAAAAATCAACTTTGCAAACAGCCTACAAATATTCAAATTTGTAGCAGTCGATAAACCTTAAGCATTTTTCCCCAGTTGGCATTCTGTAGAAGTGTTGGGATTATTATTTGACTATGTTGGGGGGGCATTTTGAAAGTTGCAGTATGAAACTCCAACATATCTGGTGGTCACTAAATTACAGAATGCTGCACTAGGCACATTAACTTGGATTCTTGTATTGCAACTGCAAATTGTATATTTGATTTAAGATGAAATTAATTAACCAGGACGATTTGATATAACAAACCTGGCTCATGCCTTTCATGATATATGCAGTAATATTGTCTATTAATTTGTAAACAAAACTCTAATTTTTCCATGCCATGTTCCAGATGAACATTGACTAAAGCAGTGATCATCTGCCAGATTGAAATTGAAATTATTTGTATAAAACAGAAATCAAGGGGAAAAAAATTTTTGAATTATGAAATGTGCATGTCCAATAAAATAAATAAATAAAATAATAATAAATAATAAATAAATAAATAAAATAAGAGACATTAATTTGTTTTTATATAGTTAAACACTCTTTAAATTTCTATAGGAAATAAAATATTGAAAAGTTGACAAATAATGGCCGAGGTTCATTCATTTATTTTGGCCTTAGCATGTTTTATGTTATGCTAAGTTTATAAACCTTTTTTATTGATTAAATTACAATCTGAAGCTCATAAACCATAATTTATGTTTATGTGCTAAGCCAGCAAATTGTTCAATGAACAAAGTTCAATGAACAATGCAGTGCAATGTAAAATCCTATTATTTCATCATCTACTTTGATGACCAATATTCAGCTCAGTAAATAAACTGTGAAAAAGAAGCCCCATATCCTTTTTTTAAAAACATCTCTGTTCTATTAGAACATATTAGCACAATATGGATCCAGCAGATAGAGGAAGTAATATACCTATTACTGAGTAATAAATGAAACAGCTAAGTAATTAGTAATTGGGTTAGAAAAAGAAAGAACAATTTCA